GGGGTAATATTGGGTACCATAGTAGCCCCATTATTAAACCATTCCAAAGCCTGAGGCAAAGCCAGTTTTAGAACTATCCTCGGAGGTACATCGCAAAAAACCTCACTTGGAGCAACAAATAACCAAAAAAGGCTTCAGATTACTGCCCCGGCGCCCTAAACCCTAAACCCTAGACCCTGAACCCTAAACCCTAAATTACTGTCCGGGCCGCCTTTCTGCGCGAGGTCTATGCCTGCGATGGGTCGCGCGCGGTCCTCTGCCCACGGCGCGCCTTAGTCTCGAGTTTATTTCCGTTAAAAGGGTTAGAGGGTTTAGGGTTCAGGGTTTAGGGTTGAGGGTTTAAGGTTCTAGGGCTGACGGTTATAGGGTTTAAGGTTTAGGGATTACAATTATAGGGCTTTGGGTTTAGCGTTTAGGGTTTAGGGTTTGGGGTTATAAGGGATGTACATCTCCTGTAAATGGGTTACACGGTGTCAGAGTGTGCGTGTATGTACACATATGTGTGTAGGGGGCTCCTTCCGTGAATGGGATTGTAGGGGATAGATATATGTGTATGTATATGATATATATATATATATATATACACCTAGGACCTCCCTTGAAGGAGCTACAAGGGGCACACATCTGCTGCAAGCGGGCAAGGGTGTGTGGGGTTTGCTTACTGACTATTACTGCGCATCGAGGAATGGATCTCTATAGCAACAGTCCCCAGTAATATGGTCATTTGGATTCTGCCTTGCATTCTACAAATCCTCAACACAAGATCAATCAAGTGGTAAGATTCCATTTCCTGCTCTCATTTTCTGCTACTAGCAAGTTTGGGATTCAAGGTCAGGAGGTACAAGGTGAAACGACTTGCGGTTTCGGGCTTCGGGCTTCAGGCTTCGGCGAAATCGTGTTCATGAGAATACAGTGAAGGTAACAGCAAGAGGGGGTAGCAACAGCAGCAGCAGCAGCAGCAGCGGCAGCGGGGTCAAGTGCTGTCGAAATATGGAACGAGAGTCATGTTTACATGAGTTATAATATAAACTCCTAGTATGCTGTCTTGGAATCCAACCCTAACCCTAAAGCCCAAACCGCAACCGAAACAGAAATCCCTGTCTTGGCGAGAGTCCAATCCCGCCCTTGCTGTGCATGGAAATGAGATCCTACCATGCAAGCTTTCAGGCTTTGCAGCACTTCTAATTCGGGACTAACAGGGTTATATCGGGATACTTACATGGGGGTATGCGGGCTTTTGTACGGATGTATAGGGATATGTGGGTTGTCCAGGGTTTGGGGTTCTAGGGCAGCTAAGTGGTTAGTCAACATGATTCTCAGGGGTTATCGGGGGATATGAGCTCAGAATCAGAATTCCAAACCATTTAGATAATTCCTAGGCCATCTAAACTACTTTATTAACAGGTCACATTTTACAGGGGTGTTTCTGAGACTTTGCATGGACGCGCTGCTTCCGCACACTTGCTAGTGTTTCAGGCTTTTGACGGACTTTCGGACTGGCAGATGGCTTTTTTTAAGAACTCGAAACAATTTGTGTTCAGAGATGTTTTGAAGGATTTTTGCGATTTCTTTGGAACACGAACGCTATTATGCTTTGGGCATGGAT